TTAAAAAAGTAGACTAAAGGAAGTCTTGCCATTCCTACAACCATGGTTTTCCCAAGCAGAAGGCAATGTTAGGACTTGTTCTTTTATTATGAGAAGAGAAATAAAATTGAAACAATTCATAAGGCTTCTGGACTTTTCTTTTATTCTCCATGCATTTGACCTAGGCTGCCTTTCATAGGAATTAAGCCCTGCGTGCATCATTTTATATGGAAAACTCAAGCCATGGTCCACACATTGGTTTACATTTAACTCATTGCAATGTTGATTACAAAAATACCTTCATGACCAAGAATCTAAGCTCTTCAAATGATCTAGGAACATGAGCTCCAATGATACAAAGAAGCGAAGTCCCAGAAAACCTATGAAATTTAGAAGGTAAGAGAAAGGAAAAGTGCTTTTTGTGAGGGTTTTGTTTCCTGTAGAGTTCACCAGGACCACTAAGACAGTCATGAAGGAAAGAGGTGAAGTTCAGAGTTGGGGAAAATATCCCAGCACCAGCTCTGATTCTGTAACCTTGGGGATCCACTTTCTTTTGTCTGTGTGATGGGACTAATCATACTCAAGGTTGTCTTTATTTAATGGACGTAAATATTCAGAGTGCTAAATATTCATAATAATAAGCACCTGTGAACAAGATACACACACACAGATATGGCTTTGGAGAAACACTATTTCTAGAATGGACAAATGGTCTAATTATCAGCTCAAAGAATGTTTTCTTAATTGAACCATTTAGAAAGGATGCTAGAGTTTTTGGAAGAACAATACCAGGTGTCCTATCTGTTCTCATCTGGATTCTGAGGGGGAAAAGAAGCCAGGAAAGGAGTTCGTGGTACGGCTGCAATGGAGTCACAATTCTGACCGACAATGGGATATGATTTGAAGTCTGCCTTTCCGAGTAAATGGATTCATCTTCTACTGGCCCATTTCTACTGTGTGACAAGTATACCTCCTGCCTGACAGGTCTGAGGGAGAATGCGCCTACAGCTGCAGAGGTCTCTCTCCCTCTGAAAATCCCTGACTTGACAAACAGGGCAGAATCAGTATCTGAAAAGGGGCGTGATTTTCAGAATTAGAAATTTGTTGTCATTGTTGACAGGGCCTTCGTCTAGCACTATAGCTTCTCCATTGGCATTTAAAATATATTATTGCCTCTTTCACTTTTTCCCCCCCATAAGAACATTGATGCATCCCATAAGGACATTAGTGATATGGAGAAAATGGAGTACATGAATATTATGTATACATTAGCAATGTCCTTTGTCCAACCATATATTCTAATTGTAGGAAAAAATCATTTTCATATGCTTTATATGAGTTTTTCTTAGTTCTAAAGTCTTTGAAGAAAATGTATTATTCGTGCTCGGTGCCATTGATTCAGGTTCAACTCAGCCACGCTACAAACAACAGCATGACTGACACGCTGTCTAGTCCTATGCGGGCCTCACGATCCCTGCCATGTTTGACCCATTATTACAGCCATTGGTGTCAAGCCATTTCATTAGGATCTTTCTCTTTGTTTTTTCTCCAACCCTCTATTTTACCAAGCTTCATGGCAGTCCTTCATTCGGGACTGGTCCCTCTTAATAACATGCCCAAAGTATGTGAAATGAAGTCTTGCCAGCCTTGATTCTAAGGAGCATCCTCGCAGTACTTCTTCAATGCTGAATTTATTTTTTCTTCTGGCAATCCATGGTATATTCAATATTCAAAGACATTAGTTTATTGTCAGTCGTCTTTCCTCATTGTTGAACTTCCCCATGCATTCAGGACAGTGAAAGTCCAATGGCTTGGATCAGGTGCACCCGATTTCTCAAGCAGACATCTCTGTTTGTTAATATACTACATGAGTCTTTTGCAGCAGACTTACCCAAGGCAATTTGTCAGTTGATTCTAGTATGTTCTTTCATTCTTACTGCTGCTTTTATGAGTGTTGATTATATAAAACTTTCAATGATTGTTGATCCAAGTAAAATAACTACCTCAGTCTTTTCTCTGATGGTCATGATGACTCATATTAGTCTAGTTGTGAGAAGTGTTGCTTTCTTTATGTTAAAGTGTAGTCTATACTGAAGGTTGTAGTCTCGGTCAAATTTCATAGGTGTTTGACACAATGGCTGTTTGAGTGGATTGTGATAAGAGATGTAAGAGCCCCCAATGAAATGATTTGTTTTAAATTCAGAGGCATTTAGGTCCACTTCACTTTCAACAAGCAAGCTGTGTCATCTGCTGTCCTACGCTTTCAACCAAGATCCATCTGACATCAGCAATGGTCTCCATCAATCTGTTTCCTCTTCTGGATGTGACTTGCATTTCTGTCAGCTCCCTGTAGATATATTGCATCAGCCATGTATAAAATTATCTTCAGCAGAGTTTTACTTGCATGTGAAATTATATTATTGTCCTATAGTTTCCATAGCCCTTGGGTCCCATTTCAATGGAATAGGCATACACAAAGGGGCTTCAAAATGTCCATGGGAAAAATACCTTTTCTTTTAATTTCATTTTTTCCCTTGAACTTTTGGAATCACTTCTATGAAACGCTGCCAGACAGTTGGCCAGGTAGCTTTCTTGCAGATTTCTTGCCCAAGACAAGTAAATCCTCTCAAGGTTTCACAGATTTGTTGAAATATCTCAGTTGGTATCCAGCGGTGGGGGTTATGTCCATGAGAGTCATACCCAGACCTGTGGAGTTGTAGAATTTCAGGGCAGCCCTGTCACATATTGTATAGGAATGGTGCCCCCTAGCGTGCAGCAATGTAGAGGCTCTCTCTCTCTGTCCCACCGATTCATTCATTCAGTACCTCCTCACTTAGCTTACCATGTATGAGATATTGTTCTCAGTGCTGGGCAGAGAACAGAGACCAAAGGGGACAAGAACCCCTGGCTTCAGGGAACTTAAAGATCTTTACTTTCAATTATTAAATTAAAAAAATTAAAAAAGGAAGAAAAGCCAAAAAGGACCATGCCAGCCAAGCAAAATTCATTAGCATGCAGAATTTGGCTCCTGGGCCCGCCAATTAATGACCCTGCTCTATGCTTTTAAATTATGTCTGTAACCTTGGGGCTTTTAACCACAGGGACAAAGTACAGCAATGTACTGACCACAGGTTTGCATCCACAGCTTAGCTCATGCTCAATTCAATGAGAGCTTTGTATACACAGAAAAATCAGTTAATTAATTTTCAATTAAAATTTTATACTCCCAACCCAGTATCTGTACTTGTCACTCCTTCTTCCAAGAAAACTTAATTCCTCGAGGTGGTCTGCTACGTGAGGGTGGAAAGCTAGGATGCAGTGGGGTAATGGCATTCGGTCAAAACTTTGTCTGTCTGGCTCCTTGTCCCGGACACTGATGGGAGAGGGAGACCATGGAGTGAGGGTCAAATTGAACCAACTCAAAGTGTTATCTAAGCATCTAGAAATTTAATTAATTTCTGGGGTCATGTAAAAATGAGGATTCCCTAAAGGATTAGAGCTCTAAATGATTTTGCTAACAGAAGTAGGGGAGGTACAGCATTCACAAACCTCTCCTACAAAGAATTTATTTCTCAGTCTATTGGTATCTTACTGAATTTCAATGGAATGTCTGCATAGACTCAAAATAGAGCTAAAAGAAGGTTTCTAGTCACCTAGGTACTGCTATGTCTGGAGGATTTTTTCCCCTTTTTGCACTGGAAGCTTCAGTAAAAAGGAAGAGAACTTGTATTAAGTTACTGCAAGAAGCTTTCCAGAAATGCTAGAATGGTGCTCAAGTCATTTAAAAGTTTTCCTCCCACCCCCCTCTGCCTTTTCTTAAATAAGATCATGACTCAAAAATATTTAAAGAACCGAGGTCACCAATCGAATGAAGGGAGAGTCTCAGTCTAAAGGTATAAACACTGCAGGTCAGTATGCACACATCCCCCTATACACAGCAAAGGGATCTGTTCTTTTCCACACTCCTCCTAAGTGAACAACAATAATCATCAGAAGAGGGGGGAGGAACTTAATCTTCACATTATATTCAAGTACATTTCTCAAAGTTTGGGAGCATTTCCTAAGAGCTGTCAAAGGTATTATTATTATTATTTTCTTCTCTCTCTTTCTCTTTAAATCACAAAGCAAAATTCCACTGTCTCTACACCCCCGCCCTCCCCGTTCTTAAAAAAAAAAAGTTGTTGAGTTTTGCTTTTCTATTCACCGCAGTCCTGGCCAAAGTAAAGCCCTCGTTCTCAATGACGTCAAGATCTTTACCAAGATTAGGCTTTCGTTTCTCTGTTGCAGCAATTAGCCAGGGAAGGTATAAAAGGCTTCAGGGAGCCTCACTGGCTGCAGAGAGGCAGTCTGCACCACAGACAGATAGCAGGACGGGAAAGCCAGAGGGAGGGAGGAAGGAAGAGCCAGCCGTTCCTGGGGCAGTGAGAGGGTGAGACAGGCTGGGCGGAGACAGAAAGTGTGTGTGAAACGGAGTCAAGAAAGAAAAAAAGAAAAAGAAAAAAAAGCCCTTAAAGTACATTTTGTAAACTGGAAATTTCAGAAACAAGCTACATTTAAAGAACATAGAGGCAATGAAAAGCTAAAGAAAAATTTGCCATCTTTGCCACCGTCTCTCTCATAGGTGCTTGGAACTGAAAGTAGAACTATTTGTCTTGAACGGACTCAGGGAGGGATAACTGGATTAGGGACAGGCACGCCGGTTGTTGCGTGTGTGTGTGTTTTGTTTTGTTTTTTCTTCTAAAAAAACAAAACATCTAAAGTCCCGAAGCAAAAAAAAAAAGGCAGCCGCTCCGAATTGAATGAATTGATGGGTACACTCCAACTACTGGGCCAGAGAGACTGAGCATGGTCTTGCCATTGCTGCTTCTTTGAAAGAAGAGACAACTCGGGTTTCCTTTTAATTTAGTTTTTCTCCTTCTCCACCCCCATCACCCCCCCTTACCTCCCCCCACCCCCTCGATTGCCACCCCCCTTTTAAATAAGAGGGTGAAGGGGAGCCAGCACGCACAAGGGAACTGATTCAGGAGGCAGAGAAGATGGGCATCCTGAGCGTAGACTTGCTGATCACGCTGCAGATTCTGCCAGTTTTTTTCTCCAACTGCCTCTTCCTGGCGCTCTATGACTCAGTCCTTCTGCTCAAGCACGTGATGCTGCTGTTGAGCCGCTCCAAGTCCACTCGCGGAGAGTGGCGGCGCATGCTGACCTCAGAGGGACTGCGCTGCGTCTGGAAGAGTTTCCTCCTTGATGCCTACAAACAGGTGAGCTGGGCTGTTCGGCTGACGCCTGGTTCCCAGGCCACCAAGGTCCAGTGGGGAACAGTGGGAACTGGAGGCCACCAGGAACACTGGGGTGAGAACTGGGGACCTTCATCTGGGAGCCTGCTGGCTCTGCTGCAGAGGGAGCCAGCGGTGTGTCCTTCCAACACCTGCCATGTGGGTTAGGTCTGGGATGACAGATTAAACCATTATGAGAGAGAGAGAGAGGAAGAGAGAGAGAGCAAGATCTCGGTAATGACGGTCATGCATGTCTGTCTGTAATTCGGGTAGTAAGAGGATATTTGTGCTACTGGAATCACTTGGGGGGATGCCAGGAAATGTATGGCTAGGGGGATAGAGCCACTGTATTGATTCCACTGTTGTCATCCAGGGGAATTTTGAGGGTTGGCGGGGTGTGAGCCAAGGCGCCTGGGAAAAGGCTGTTCTTTCCAGGAGACAGACACTGCCCAGAAAGCTGGACTCCAAACTTCCAGGGAGTTAAGAATGTGGTTATAACCTGTGTATTTGGCATCACAGTTGCTTCGTTTCTGGTAGAGATAAGAGTTAATGTGAACCAAGTGCTGATGTGGATTTGAACCCGGTTACCCGGCTAACTGGCATTCAGTGAGTAGAGACCAGGGAGCTGGCTGTCAGAAACTCAGACTTCAGAAGAGAAGCCAAAGAAGCTGTTGTTGCTCAAAAGAAAAATCAGCTGTTATGGAAAGAACAGAAGGGTCGATGGTGCCTTACACTCTCAAGGGTGGTCGTTCTACGAGTGCTTGAGAACTGGGGCAGGAGATTCGTGTACCTGCAGAGATAAGAGTTCCCAGTAGCTGTTCCCTCAAAGCTGGAGGTTGCTGATCTTTGTTTCTAGGTGAACAGGGCTGAAGCTGCAGCCTTTCCATTGTGTGGAGATATCGGGGGAACATCTTCACCCTAGATCTTAAGGGGCCGAGAGCACCTTGCGGGCACAGGTTATCTGTTGGCCTCCTTCCCGACTGCTGTCTGACTCCTGAAGTTTCCTGGACTGGAGGGACTAACTTACTTAGCAAATGCTGCGAGCAAAGCCGATCATCTGGGTTTAACCTCACAGTGTTCGGGGCTTTGCTCCGGGTGCCAGGGAAAGGAGGCCAGAGGAAGGTGGGAGAGATGTTCAATGAAGAAGGGTAGTGTAGGCAGGCATGGCCACCACCACCACTGTTAGAGGAAGTCACTTCTACCTCATGGAGACTCATGGAGAGAGCATTGTACTCTAATAGGGCTTTCACTGGCTGATTTCAGGGAAACTCAAAAGAGGTGAGATACAGAGCATCCTCTATAAAGAAATATTAGAAAAATCAAGCAAAATGCACCAAGAAAGAAAAAGAAGTAACTTTTAGACATAAGAAAAATTCAGGGTAGTGTTGTTCTACTGAAAATCAATGAAGTGTCTAAGAAGAAAAGATCGACTTTGAATTGGAAAGTTTTCCTACAATACATGTTCCTATTCTTGAGAGTGAGCTTCAGGGCATTTGTAGTTGGGATCCCAAAGACATGTGAATAACACAAGCTCTTATTCGTAAGTACATATTGGTTAATAAGAAGATTAACCAATGCTCACCTTTCTAACAGAAAACGCATGCCCGTCTGGGGACGGTAGTGGGAGATATTGAGAGCACCACTTTCATGCCACAAGTGTATACATTCCATGGGACAACTGTCTGTCTTGTGTTCCGGGTGGGGATTTAGAGGGCAGATAGGTATGTGTGCACACAAGTGTTCTGGTGGTGAAATGGTTAAGCCTCCAGCTGCTAATCAAACATTCCTAGTTGTAACCGATCCAGGGACTCTAGGGGAGAGGACTTGAAGGTCTGCTATCTGTTCCCATAAAGGTGATGTTCTAGAAAACCCTGACGAGCAGTGCCACTGGGATCCATCGGAGTCAAAGCCCAACGATGACAAGGCATACATCAGTATGTCGGGCATATGACTGATGGGGAGACTTCTCTGCCTTAATGGGCATTTTATGTGCTTGGGTGTTGGTTTCTTTTTGTGAAAAATTGTCCTAAGACAGTGTCATAAGACAATGACTCTGGCTTATGAGGAAAAATCGTTTCCCGGGAAAGTTTGACGTACATGTCTACATACATGTCATCTGTCCCGCAAGCAGTCAGGACAGTAATGTTCCCACCAAAGTTAGATGGGCTTGTTGCCCTCTCCTCAGCAGTTCAGTGAAGCAAGAAAAGAAAACCCAGCAAGAAACCTCCGTAGTAAACATTGTTATGTATTTCTGTTAATAAACGTACCGTGTTTCATTGTGTTGCAATATTTTATTGTTCATCTTCCTGGAATTGGGAAGGATGAGTGATTTGTTCTCGCCTTTTGACTATGGTTTGTATATTCCGTTGATGATGTCATTATGCTTGCTCTTAATGGTTTCAGGGGTCCTCAAACTATAGCCGGCGGGACATTGATCCGGCCCGCCAGGTGTTTTTACCCCATTTGTTTTTTTACTTCAAAATAATATATGTGCAGTGTACATAGGAGTTTTTTCATAGGTTTTTTTTTAAAGACTATAGTCCGGCCCTCCAACGGGTCTGAGGGACATTGAACTAGCCCCCTGTTTTAAAAAGTTTGAGGACCCCTGGATAGCCCCCACGAGAAGATGCATCAAGGACTCATGTATTCAGAGACAAGACCGCCCTGGGTGTGCAAGAGATGGACACAGGGTAGATATAGCTTGCACTGATTTTTGGTTTCCCTCTATCTCCAAGTATGTCAAGGGTGGTGGTAGCTTGTGGTGCCATGCGAGGCTCACTCACACCCTCTGAAACAGGTTGAACTATTTCCTGATAGTTCTTGTCATCTGTGGCACTGTCTCTGGGCGTTGCCATTGCTAGAGATACATTGGAAGAGATTCCTTTTGAAATTACATCACAGTATTTCATAATCCTGACTTGCATTATTCTAGCGCTGGCACCCTCGAAGCAAAGTTGGCCAAGGATGTGGGGTGTGTGTACATGTGATACAGTAAAGCAAGCCATTTAAAACGCTCCTTGTCATCGACTGTCGGGTCACTTAGACAGAGATTCAGAGAAAGTAGAATCAAAGAATTATCTCTCATAAGAAGTAACAAAGACTTTTTTTTAAACGAGTAAGCTGAAACAAAGGTGCATTTGTTAGAATGCTAAACGGGATTGGAAATTAACTGTATAGAGAAGCTTTGAAGGAGAATTTGGGTTCAGTTAGAAGAAATCCCACACATAATTTTGATTGAAAGAAGGTCTGAAGAAACTTGTGAATGATTGAGAGGTGAATAACAGATATTTGTGATTTAAGTTTCCTTAGTCAAGATCATGCTTCTGAAACACTGCCTCCTTATGCTGGTGCCCAGTGACTCTTAGTATGCAACCAGTATGCAAACTGCCCTGTCTGGGAGCCTGGCTCCTGCCTAGATGAAGTGTAGAGCACAGGATAGATGCTGACAAGTAGTTTAGTTTCTGCACACAGAATATTGCGGTGGCACAGAACACATATTCGTTTAAACATGTAATTTTGGTTTTGAAAGGGTCTCTTTAACATTCCCCTCCTCCTCTTCAGTCACCTCAAGCCTCCAGACGCTACTTTCTACAATAGAAAACGGCCCTTTTCAGAGAGAAGCAGTCCCAAGAGTACACAGAGAAGGCCACAGCCAGAGCCTGTCCAATACGTGGGTGAAACACTGGGAAATGATGGGGCTTGCAGCTAGATTTTCAAGGCGCAGATCTGAACAACAGCAACTGAAAGGGAATTGAGCACAGACCAAAGCCTCGGTTGGTTGGTCCCTAGCCATTCCACTCAGATTTACTTGGCTCATCTCACTGTAAATTGCTTACCAATGACCTAGCCATGTTTGTATGGCTGGTCAGAATGTCAAAGAATTTGAAGATTCCTGGTAACTAATTAGGCCATTTCTTGGCTTTAGATAGACAGGAATACGTATAAAACTTCTTCTGCTGCACACTTAGCTCCAATTCCTTTATCATTACTTTACTTTCTATCTATCGTGAGATGAGGTGATATTATGGTGTCTAAAAGCCTTTCTCAGGCTGAGGAAAAGAAAACAAAGTCAGAAGTCTCTATTCTATTTTCTGCTCCTACTTGATGAACAACTCGTTCTTTTTCCTCCTTTGCCCTGCATTCCACGATCCACATGCTCAGGCAGTACTATCCTTTAGTCTCATTCACTGGACGCCGTCAGTACAAGGAGTCCATCCGCCAGGCAGTCAAATGTATATACTTGCAATATATTTATGCTCATGCTCATATTCACAACTATAGCTAGAGCAACACTTGAGCTTGTCCTACTGATGGCCCCTGCTGTGAAAATGTGAGCCTTTAATTTATCATTGTCCTTTGCTGGTGTTGTGCTGATGCTATTACAAAAACACAAGAAAGGCCAACTGTAAGAGTGTGCAGATGAGAACGATAAAAGTCCATGATGACGATATCACATTTTATGTGTGTCCTTTCTGATCCTTGTAAAATAAAAGGAACCTTTGGGAACATTGGAACTTCAAGGCCAATGATGCTTGAATTTTAGTGGAAATGATGCTGCTTGTGTTTGGGCATTAAATACCGGGCAGGGTTCTCTTTAGAGCAGCAAGTGCTGGCAGGGAAAGAGGTACCGACCTAATTACTCTTCCACAAGAGTAAAAAATGCCTTTTGAATGCCTCTTTGGCAAATATGTCTCATTAAGGACAAAACCCAAACACAACCCCTCTAAGAAGGAGAAATTAAGATGATAGGTAACTTGTGGCCAGGAGACTTTCTGTGCCACTGTGGGAAATTAAAACAAAGTTCGGGAGTACCAGGGGATACCTTGTTTTTGTTGAGCCTCTTTCCTGCAGCCTAAATGTTATTATGGGACCAACTTTATTTTCTTCATCATTTTGGCTCTTTGTCAAGGAATGCTTTGCTCCTGGGGACAGCAAGGAATCTTCCATCATTGAAGACAATGATGAGTCTCCTATTCCATCTCTGCAGGGTGCATTTCAGAGCCAACCAAGAAATCCTCCCTTTGAAACTCTGGTCAAAGGAGAAATTGGATGTTCATGGTGATCAAATGAGAAGATGGAACATGCACACTAATACCCTTTGAAAGGATTGGCTTTAGATTTTTAGTTTAAAGAAAGCCACCATTCTTAATTTGTTTATTGATTACTGCTAAATTGTCTATTGATTACTAAAATATTTTGTTGATTGATTGCTACTAAATTGTCTTCTATCAGAGATGAACAAATTGTGTGTGTGTGTGTGTGTGTGTGTGTGTGTGTGTGTGTGTGTGTAGAGCCCTGTTGGTGCAGCAATGAAGTGACAGGCTGCTGACCGAAAGGTCATTTCTTCCAACCCACCGGCCACTGTATCGGAGAAACCTGTGGCGGCCTGTTTTTGCCAGGATTCAGCGCCTTGGAAACTCGAGGGAGCAGTTCTATTCAGTCTTTTAGGGTCATGATGACTTGGAACCAATGCAGCAGCAATAAGTTTAAATTTTATATTTTAACAGATGGTGCTTGAAGAAGCAGATACCTGGTCTACTCACACATAGGCTTATGATTGTGTGTGTGTGTATTCCCTCTCCATTTTATTATTAGGATATAGATGCATTGTCTCATGAATAAGGATATTCATTTATGGCATTCCAGTCTGCAGTCAAATCCCTGGGCTGCTCAAGAAAAAAAAGAGAATTGGCCACATTTGTTTTTATGCACTGACCTCCAGAGATCGTCAGAATCAGAGAGAATGATGGATGTTGATTATGGTAGGAATTCCCAGGAGGATGCTAGGACTCGTGTTTCTAAATTATCTGTCCCCATGCACTAAAAAAATGACTATATTTATAGCAAGTAAAGGTTAGTGTTCAGTGTAAAGCACTTTGCTGACTCCTACTTAAAATGATAACAACTACTATTTGTTCAATGATTCATTAAAGGTTTTTTTAAAGATTTTTCAACAAAATGTGAACGACCCCCATACATTTGCATTTTTTCACTTCTAAGTTTTAAACTTAGAATGATAATGAGGTACTTACCTTAAATTTTCTATGACAAACCAGTCTGTTTGTATTTTGGAAAGAATTCTGTTGCTAAACCGTGCCCTGTCCCTAGAGAAAGTGTAATACGCTTTACCTTTCCAAGAAAAGTAACTGCAGGTAATCAGAGAGTCAACTGTGACTGAGCCATGTATTAGATTATTCAGGCCGGTGAATCAGGAATAGTACAAGGATCAACTGATCTGCTAATATTAGAGTTCAGAGGTCATGGCCTGTTAAACATGATCACTCACAGGTCTCAAAAATCACTCCCCAAAGCAGATGAGTATATTGACCTGCTCAGACTCACTCCATCGAGCCGATGCCGCCTCAGTGCACCCCTCTAAGAAGGGATCGAGCTGCCCTCCTGTCAGTCCTTGAGACTTCAAGTGTTGGTGGGAGTAGAAAGTCTCCTCTTTCTCCTGTGGAGTGGCTGGTGATTTCGAACTACTGACCTGAGATTAGTAGCCCAATGAATAACCACTGTTCTACCTGGGCTACAATCCTTTATTTCTACAACCCAGACATAGTTTTCTCCCTAGATGGGCTACTTACTTAATAAGAATTGGCTGCAGGAGTAAATTAATTCATAATCATCTGTCACCAGCCTTCAGAACTTATCACAATATCCCGGCAAACACAGCACAGCAGTGCTTTAAAAAAATGGCTTTCCTCACATCATTATTGCTATTTTAAAAGTGGGTATTTAAAGAGAAGATGATAATGGTATCAACAACCTAAATTTATAAGGAACTTCAAAAAGAACCCATAGATTAAAAGGCTTAGAGCATTTTGAAGTGCTCTCTTAAAATGTTTAACTATTTCAACCCCTTGGATATGAATGAAGCTCATATTAAAATATCCACTTAAAATTAGTGTATTAGATTTCTCTGCTCTTATTAGCAAACTAACCAAGAAAAATTAATAGTAGTGGAATAAACTACCCCCCACCCCAGTGGTGACTGAAAGTCAAGTGCTCTAATTTAAATCATACCAAGAGCTGATTTTTCCAAGAACAACACATTTTTAATGTTGAAAAGAAAGCCAATAAGCATTATTTTCAGCCAGGGTTCTAAACTGGTCCATTCTGGTTTGACCCCTACTGAGAATTTCCTTTCCACCCCAGGTACATTGACTCATACAGTATAGTTTTTAAAAGAACTCCAGATATTTTCTGTGTATCCATCCGGGTTATGGAAGGGTCACCTGAGCATCTTTTTAAACTGTAAGCTCCGATTGAGTATATTTGGAGTGGAAATACCAATTCTCTGTAGGCGGTTGAACCAGAATGAACTGCTTCATAGCCCTGCTTCTAACTAGCCCTGCTAGGATTTTTCTGAAGCGAGAACAGACTTTAATTCTTTCTCACTAGTTAAAATGAGTTATGGATTAATGTGAGATAGAAGCTTCTGATTAAAAACCCTTGAGTGTATTTTATCAGTTTGGATTGTAGAGTCTTTAGCAATTCACTTCTAATTGACTTCAATTAACAGCAGTGTTATATATGGGTGCATTTACATGAGGAAATAAGTTGATCCTGTTGGTAGTGTTCTGTAATATTAAACATGTTGTATAAAAATCAATTGTACTGCTGTAAGTTGTTCCTGTTACTGGTTTTGATAAACCATTCTAGAAAGAGATCCAAATGTGTTCACTCAAACTGAAGTAATTGGCTCTTTTATGTTGCCTGCTTTTTATTATCAATTTACAGATCCAAATGCCCACAAACTTTTCTCCAATTTACAGTCAACTATTTAAACCATGGGCAATGGGGGCACACAGAACCATCTTCTTCTATACCTCTTTGGCTGGAGTATTTTAGGATTCAGAGGAGCTTTTAGTTGGGAAATCAGAAGTTGCTAATAAGCTATGTGGAGTTTCAGGGTAGCCCAAGTGGGTCAGCACTTGAGTCCCAGCGGAAAGATGGGTGACTTGAACCTCCCCGGAGGCACTTCAGGAAAAGGGTCTGATGGTCTTTGTCTGAAAGGTCACATGTTGAAAACTCTCTAGAGTGGCTCCACTCTGCACACACTGGGTGGCCCTGGATGGAAATGGGCTTGAGAGCACATCATCACAAATAGACCCTACAATATACCTGTTTGCATGTGAACACAGACCCTTGAAAGTAGGATTCTGGAGTAACCAGGCATAGACATGAACAAGGGGGCTATCAAAGTCATGGAAAATGGAATGAAAGGATTAGAGGAATTTTAACATGAACTTTTTGAAGCCCCCTTGTATCTATTCATGTATATATTTATGAAAATGGCTAATTTTAATCATAATAACTGCCATAGTAAACCGTAGCAGAAGAATGCTCCAGGAAGAACACTATATTGAGGGGAGCTTATATCTCTCAGGAAAATATTCTGAAACATGGAATTTCCCAGGAGAACTTATCTTTCCCATAGTGAGTGGCATGTCATATTGAAAATGTATACCCATACAGTGGTTTTTGGCATACAGGGATATTATCCTGATGTTATCTCCCAGGGACAGTCTGAGGATTCAGTCACTTACTCTTTCCCTGCCATTGAGTTGATTTTGACTCATCTGGACCATAGAGGACAGAGTAGAACTGCCCCTGTGGGTTTCTGAAACTGTAACTATTTGGGGGAGTTGACAGCCTTATCTTTGTCCTGTGGCATGGCTGGTGGTTTTGAACTGCTGACCTTGTGGTTAGCAGCCCAACTTGTAGCCTGTTAGCCCTCCAGGACTTCTTCACTATATGAAGAAGATAGGCATAGACATTATTAATGTCATTTTACAGGTAGGAAAACTGAAGCTATGAGGAGGTTCATTGGGAATAGGCCTTCTGATAAATGGAAGACCCCAGGCTTTCTATCGCTTGTCAGGAATAGAGCATATCATCGTCTACTGGTTGAGCTGAAATGGGTTAGGATCATGTAAGAAAAAGATGGTTTGGCCTAAGTACTTTTGAATTCAGAAGTGGAATTCGTAAAAGAGCCACTCTGTCTCGAGCGATAATGTGTCTTAATGTGGACCATTCACTTTTAACTTTTAAAATGAAGTCAATTAATCATGTATTATATAATGTGTGCTAAGCATTGACAGCAAGGTCAAGATAGTAAAGAATACCAGCCTCAACTTAATTATGAAAAACATTAACTGCAGTGCCTTCAGTGATGAAAATAATTACCTTCCGTGGCTGGACAGAATGGAAAATACTTTTATTCTCTTTTGGAACATTCTTTACATTAGCTGTCAGGCTGCCTCTTTACTCAAATCAATATCTGTTTACCACATGCTCAGAAGGAAATACCACATTTGATAGTGCCAGTTGCATTTATTTGGAGGGAGTTGATGAGGCAATCTGTTTAATGTGCCATTCTCTCTTTCTCTCTGTTTTTTGTTTGCCTGTTTAACCGTCAGGTGAAATTAGGCGAAGATGCTCCTAATTCCGGCGTGGTACATGTCTCCAATTTTGAAGGAGGGGGCAATCGAGGACCCGGTGCCCAGGAGAAGACAGCTGATGGAGCCCAGTGCCACCTTCTTGACTTTGCCCGTGCCGAGCGCCCGCTGGTGGTCAACTTTGGCTCAGCCACTTGACCTCCTTTTACAAGTCAGCTGCCAGCCTTCAGCCAACTGGTGGAAGAGTTCTCCTCGGTGGCTGACTTCCTCTTGGTCTACATTGACGAGGCTCATCCTTCAGACGGTTGGGCGGTGCCTGGGGACTCCTCTTCGTCGTTTGAGGTGAAGAAGCACCGGAACCAGGAAGATCGGTGTGCAGCAGCCCACAGGCTCCTGGAGCGGTTCTCCTTGCCGCCCCAGTGCCTTGTGGTTGCTGACCGCATGGACAATAACGCCAACGTCGCCTATGGGGTGGCCTTTGAACGCGTGTGCATTGTGCAGAGCCAGAAGATCGCTTACCTGGGAGGAAAGGGCCCCTTCTGCTATAATCTCCAAGAAGTCCGGTGTTGGCTAGAGAAGAATTTCAGTAAGAGATGAACTCCAGAGTAGCTGGTCAAAGGTATAATTGTCATAGAGCTTATTATTTAAAAACAACAACCACAAAGAAAACATATGTAAAACAAAAAAAAAACGAAGACGTGAATTCAGTTGGATGCCCTCCAGCCGAAGGCCCATTGCATTCCGGAACGCCTGGAAAGTCCACGTTTGAGCACCAGTCATCTAAGGTCTCAGCCCTTCTCTCACAGCAGCCCCATCCCTCTCTTCCTAGTGAGCAGCCTTCCGTGACAAGAGCCCAAGATGGAGAGAAAGAAACCGTGGTTGAGCATGTGTTCGTTCTGCCTTGAGAAACTAGTGATCCAGCTGATGAAGGCTTTGGGATGAGAAGCCGGAAGGGGAAAAAAAACCCCGACAAACTGAATAACTCCTATGTTAGGAACGTTGCTGCCTAGGCTAGGAAGATGGATATTACCCCAGCTTTATTCGGCAAGGATGGAGCCCGACTGGGAAATCTCAAATAGTTACTTATAATGAGTCCTTGAGCTCGGGCCGTGTGGCCAGGACCTCGGTGTTTATTTAACGTGTTGGTGTATTTTCTGCTGCTCCAGTTTCCAGTATGCCAATTCCCTATGCCAGCCTACATGTCTAGAATTAACCAGTTTAGTTACAGAAACCTACAAGGATCCTTCAAGCCCGAGGTTTCGAATGATCGTCTAAGAACTGTGGGTTACTTGCTAGGCAGTTGGAGGAAGGGTTAGATTTACAAAGCAAGAAAGAGGCTGCAGAGATTAGAATGCCTCAGAGGGTTTCACCTGGAGACTGTTAAGAGTGGGCCTAATGTGTTAGCCCCAGAAATACACAAACATACCCACACCCAGAATAAGAAGTTCAACTAAAAATCGCATGAAGAATACAAATCTGGAACTGTGTTTGTTATGCCCTATATGCTCGAGTAGAAGCTGGCCTGAATATCAGCCAAGGCACCTAATTTTACCACAAAAACTGCATTCAAAATGTGCTCAAAAACTCGGCTTATACAGGTGTATACTCTTAGACTGAGAGAGAATGAGGATTTAAAGGGAAAAAAAAAAACCCCACACCTTTCCCATTTCTATTTATGGAACTAAGTTTTGAATTATGTATCTGGTTTGGTTATTACATCCCATGATACCTCTCAAAGGTAAATCCCGTGGGCCCAGTGGTGGGCCTCTATTCCACTCCATTCCTGAAACGATGAAGCGGCCTCACTCATTCCTGGTCTTAGTCTCTATAGCAATGCTTTCACTGAACGTTGAACTGGAATGTGTATATATACACAGGTATATATATATATCAGCTACTATGAGGGATGAGTACCATGGCTAGTCAGCTACTGCCCTATTTTTCCAGAAGAAAATTAGCTATATTGAATGGCAGGTACAAACAAGCAAGGATTTTTCCATTGCAAAAACGGAAAGAATACGTTAGTTTGGGATAATTGGCATCGGTAATTTGGAGGGCTTCGATGTAATAGCTCCCTCTATGGTGTGGAATTTGGTGCCATAGAATTCCACTAATATTTGAATTTGGACTTGGGTTTCCCTAAGGCCTGTTAACTGGCATCTAGACATCTAAGGTGTCTAGGGTGGCTGATTATATATATATATATATATATATATATATATA